TCCAACCGCCAAGGCTGTGTGGCTTGGAAGCTTGCGCTTTCAGACCACCTATTGAACATGGAATTTACCAATTAAAGCGTAAGCGCGGACTGGAACCTGTGCCGTTCCGGCCGCCTGGGCGGTGCGGCCTCAAAAATTTGCGCAGTCGAAGCATAAGCGCGGACTGGAACCTGTGCCGTTCCAGCCGCAAATGAAGTGCAGCTTCGAATTACGTACACACGAGGCCTGGGCAAGGATTGGAACCTAGGCCGTTCCAATGACAAAGGCCGTATATGCCATACGTAAACGGGATTGAAACTCGTCTCTTATGTAAGCCTGCTTAATGCAATACCAGCGACAAAAAAGCAGTTATAAGGCAGGCCATAATTTTAAGGCATTTGTCCTTACTGTTTATAAAAGCGAAAATAATAGTTTGTACTTGTATACAAGAGATAAATAAATAGTTAAAAAAAAAGGTATTTCTCTTTAAACAATACGTGGCACAGACTATTTGGCGTAGCCCAGGAACGAGTACAACCGACTGGAACGAACGTGCTAGCCTAGTGCTCAAACCGCCTCCCGACGAAATACTTGACAGTAACATTGGGGGATTGGTACTTGGACAGTATATGGAGGCTTAGTTTGGGTTAAAGTACCACACTGACGGGCTTAGGCTTTCGATGCTTCCTCCTCGTAAAAAACAACGTTTAAGTAAACAGCAAAATGGACACACTAAACAAGAGTATACATAAGTAAAATACTCAAGTCTAAAACATCAAAGTGGTAAGAAAACCATTATTGTATATATGTACATACATATGTAAACTCAGTAGCGTAGATGTGTGTAGAATGTGGATACCCCTGAAATTCAATTATGAATTGGCACGGAGCTATCTACGCCACTGTTTACACTTATTTGAGCTAATAGACGCGCGGTCATCAGTCTACATCGGCAGGCGCACAGACAACCACCCAGCAATTCATTTTCCTTACCAATGTTCGGTGTTGGCAGTAAATCAAAAACTGCAGTAGCAAGTTGCATGCGTTAACTATTATCGCTATCAAAACGAGCGCGCGTGCGCAACAGCCACTCAACGCACAGTGTGTGATATTTCAACATTCTAGATGGAGAAAATTATTTATGGATATTTTTGGATGCTGTTTTTCGATATGCTATCCGTTTTCTCAGATTGGCCATTGTTTGAGAATTTTTGCGAATTTTCCAAAATTTTCGGTTGCTGAAATTTGGAAAGCTATATTTTCCATCACCATTTGAAACTTTTATTTATGAAAACGATTATGGAGGCTATGAACTCGCAGAAATGAGAAAAATATAATGCAGTATACTTTTGCTTACGCCTACTGCGTAAAAAGTACCTTTTTTTTTAAAGAATAAGTATTGTAGTTTCTTTTTTTAGAGTCATTTTGTGATATTTCGACAATCTAGGTGGACAAAATTATTTCTTTACGTTTTTGGTAATTAAATAGACTAATTATAACTAAAAGGTGTATTTTTTTAATATATGTATGTACATATTTTTGTAAAAACGACCTGATACTTGAGGGATAAAGTTTAATTTTAAAATATTCTAAATTAGGTGAGAATCTATTCATATTTTGACAGTTAGGATCAGCCATGCCCAACGCTACCAGAGCTCTGCCTGCGCTAGACATGCCTGGTTTAGATGGAAAAAATTATTTTTCTTCATAGCCGTTTAACTTATTAGGACAAAGTAATTATAAGAATAAGATAAAGATTTTATTTTTATTATAATTGGTTTGAACTCTGAAGCAAATAGTCCGAATATCTGCTTTCATTGAAAGTAAGTCTGGGTCTGATAGTGTATAGTCATCCACTATTTCTAAAACATATGTATGCTAATAAAGCATCAAATCTAGTCAAACTTGGGATTTTAACCCATATATCAAAGTGGGCCAACATGTGCAAGGTTTTTCCTTCGATTTGTATAACCTATAGACCCAGTTTTAAGCCAAATGTAATTCCAAAGTTGTACAACGCTTAGAATTAATCTTGTTTTCGCAACAAAAAAAATATTTTATTAGTAGATGAAATAATACTCACTTCTCTGAAGTTATTAAGAACAAACTACATCGTTTATCAAAGAAAATTATGAGGTGGCTTGTTAAATTTGGTCACTAGTCACGTGGATGCCTCAAAAAAATCACGCGGACAAGAATTGAAATGCGCAAAAGCAAATTAAATTGCTCAAAGAATCTATATATTAATACGCTAACATAAATTTTGTCTCCGTTCGTTTGGCGATTCTACCGAACCGATTTCAAAACCAAGAACACCGTTGGAAAGGCATTTTTCCGTAGATGAGCAGAGTTTTTATGGTTTTACAATTGATTGAAAATTACGGCCAAAACAGTCGTTTAAACATTTTCGAATTGTGTATACATGTTGCTGCAATATGTTCAATTTGAAATGTTTCGCCTGTTGTTTCACTACACATTTGAAATTAAGCTTTGAAATAAAGATAAATATGAAGATGAAGAAATAAATGATAACGACCAAGTAAAAAAAAGAAGGCAAAAGTGAAGATAAAGACGAAAATGAAGACAATGACACATACATAAGAATTAGGGTAACTGAAAGGGTAAGAACATTTCTTGAATTTATGAAGTGAAACTTCTTTAGCGGCAGTTGGTTGGTTGGGAGTAAATTGCCAAATTCAATGGG